TTGAAGTGGGCATGAGATTGAAATGTCCCTTTATGTCCTCTGTAGTCTGAGATAGTTGTGCCCCCCCCCCCTTTTTTTAAAAAAAAGTCATTTATTTATTCAGTCATGGAACAATAGTTATTAGATGTCTAGTTCTAGGTGATACTTTGTTAGACTGTTTTTCTCTCCTTAATATCTTTAGACATGACTTCATATCAGTATCATACAGTACCATCCCAAGACTTATGGTGTCAATTAAGTTTCATAATTGCCCACTATTATACTTTTAACCAACTGGTTATAGAGTGAAAAAATAACAATAACAGAACAATAGCAAAACCAGGACAAGACATGGTCTTTGTTTAAAAGGCTTAAGGAATATGACAAAAGGATACTACATTTTCATGTTGGGACAGTAGATGGGAGAGGGGAATATATAGTTTGTAACTTTGTCTCTTGTATAGACAGTACCTGGATTACGAATGTCCTATAAACACCCAATTTACATACAACCTGCAGTTATGAACCAACCCATAAAACCTATTATATTAAAAATTCGAGGAACATACCATGATTCATAATAATATGATTATTATCATGGTCACTGTTTTGCGATGTGCATCAAAACATTATTATCACTGTGTTATTAAGTTAAAGATGTTTAATGTATCTAAAAGTGTCTTCTTAATGTTTTTTATGCATGAAAGGTATACTGTGTACTTTATACTAAGACAAACATTTGATTAACTGACCTTAGATATGAACTGTACCTAACTGTTCTGACTTATGTACAAATTTCCTTTAAAGATAGACCTGGGAATGGGACTTGTTCATAATCTGGGGGACTGCCTGTATTTCTTGTACTAGAAATTAGATCTGTAGTTGTGCTGTCCAATAGTTTAGCCACTACCCACATGTATGTGTAGATCCTTGAAATTTAGCTAGTTCAAACTGGGATGTGTTCTAAGTGTAGACTGCACACCAAATTTCAAAGACTTAGTACAATAAAAATAATGTAAAATATCTCAGTAATAATTTTCTTTCATATTTATTACATGTTGAAATGATAACATTTTCTTCTTAGTTTTTTAACATGCTAGTAGAAAATTTAAAATCGCAAATGTGGTTCACTTTATATTGAGCAGTGTAATCTAGGGGTTTGATGAAATTTAGGTTAAATATTACTTCATATTGCATCATATCAAGAGGTATATAATAACAGTTTGTCCTATTAGTGATACTAAATTTTATAATTTATGAAACTCTCCATTTTAAAGATACTATAATCACTTCCAGAACTTTCCTTTGTAAAGATACAGTTTTTAAAATCACTTCTAGAACCTTTCATTGTAAAGATGTTGCTGTTAGGTACTATGGAGTCAGTTCTGACTCATAGTGACCCTTTGTATAACAGAATGAAATACTGCCTAGTACAGCACCATCCTCACAATCCTTGCTATGTTTGAGCCCATTGTTGCAGCCACTGTCAGTCCATCTCATTGAGGGTCTCCCCCCCCCCTTTTTTTTTTCTAAATTGTGATTTGGGTGAAAGTTTACAGAGCAAATTTACTTTCCATACAGCAGTTCACATACACTTTGTCTCGTGACATTGACTACAATTTACCCCAATGCAACAGCTCCCCTCCCACTTCCTCCCGATAGTCACCTCTTCCCTGTATCCATTCCTCCATGCACTCTTGCCCCATGAATTGTCTCTCTGTGCATAAACAACCCTTCTTTCTCCCATGATTGTTCTCTCCAAGGAGTGTATCTACCTGAGGTAAGTGTTCAATTCATATGCCTGTCTTTTGTTTGGCTGGAAGCCACAGGTGTGGGTTCAATTCCAGACCTGAAGGGTAGCTAGGGGCCATAGTCTTAGTGGTTCTGCCAGACTCTATCAGACCAGTAAAGCTGGTCCCCCCCCCCTTTTTTTTCCCAAATGATTTTGAGTTTTGTTCCACATTGTTCTCCCTCTCTATCAAGGATCTCCTACATAGATCCCCCTCCTCATAGAGGGTCTTCCTCTTTTTCACTGACCATCTATTTTACCAAACATAATTTCCTTCTCCAGGGACTGATCTCTTCTAATATGTTATGATCAAACCATGAGAGACAGAGTCTAGCCATCCTAAGTTCTAGGGAGCATTTTTTGTTGTACTTCTTCCAAGACAGATTTATTTGTTCTTCTGGCTGTCCATGGTATATTCAATATTCCTTGCCAACACCATAATTCAGAGGCATCAGTTCTTCTTTGGTCTGTCTTCCTTATTCATTGTCCAGCTTTCACATTCATGTGGGGTGATTGAAAAGACAATGGCTTGGATCAGGTGCACCTTTGCTCTTTAGCACTTTAAATAGGTCTTTTGCAGCAGGTTTCCCCAATGTAACACGTCGTTTGATTTGTTGACTGCTGCTTCAATGGCAGTTGATCATGGGTCCAAGTAAAGTTAAATCTTTGACAACTCCAGTCTTTTCTCTGGTTACCATATCTACTTATTGGTCCAGTTGTGAGGACTTTTGTATATATACACACACACACATTTTTAAAAAGCTTTCAGAACTTTCCATTGTTAAAGATACATTTTTAGCACTTCTGAGGTTCTTCAGAATAATGATACATTTTCTTTTCTACAATGAGAAAGAAATCTGTGGTGTGATAATTTGGCACTTTGGGAATATCCTACTCCCAAACACCTTTTTTTACCTAATGGTTTTAGAATCCGTTGAAGATCCTGAATAAATTATTTTGGGGTCTATGCAAGATGGTGATTTTCTAATTCTATCCTTTCTTTTTTATAATCATTGGTATTCTTTGGTAAAGAAGAGCATTTTTTTTTCCTCTGAGAATTTTCATTTGTTTTTAGGTGAAAGAGTTAGCTGTGTGACATGTGAATTAGTCACTTCATAAAAAGATGTTTGATTAGAAAAGTTGGATACAAATGAAATTTTACAATATGGGATCAACTTACATGTACAGTGGTTGTTCACTCTTGAATCTTTCTATAAATCTTTTTTTGCTAGTAATTCCCTCTTAATTTCTGTCATTTTTGTGAAACTTAATTTTTATGTATAGCACATTTATTCAACAAATTATTGAGAGCCTATTATGGGCCAGTACTGTGGTAAGCACAGGAATAGAGTGAGCAGAAGAAACATGACTATTGCTAATGTAGGATGCATCCTAATAAGTAAGAAGACAGTAAGAATGTCCCAGAATCCAGATTGAAGGCAATTATGGAGCTGTGTCTGAGGAATTTTGATTTGGAAAGTATTATAGGCTTTTGCTAATAACCATGCTCAAGTAAATGCTTTGAAGTTCAGAACCCTAAACAATCATTCTCTATGGGTCTGATAAGAAGAATATATAGTGTAATTGGCAATTTCCTCCTATTGTGTTTTTTAATGTTCCATTGAGTTATGATTGCAGATTCCTCCCCACAGTGTGCAATTTTGCCTAATTTTTTGTGTGCTAAGGACATTCCCTTGGATGGGGTTTAAGACTCTCGAAGACATGCCCTAGAGGCATACTTCTGAGGCTCCAGAGACCCTGAAGACTCTGAGCAGAAGGGAGGCAATCAAATGATCCATGCTTTTTCACCAGATTCCATTCGAGAGAAGAAGTACCAGTTTCCTCCATTATCAATAGAATCCATGGCAGAATAGGAAATTTCTAGAAGTTCTAAAATGCCTTAGAAGATTAGGCAACCTAAGAAATAGCCAGCTGCTATTGATTCCAACTCCTGGGTAAACTTGAACCTCCAGATTTTCAGTTAGCAGCTGAGCTCATTAACAGTTTGGGTCACCTAAAGGAGCTCTGGTAGCATAGAGGCTAAGACACTTGCCTGCTAACCAGACGGCTGGCGGTTCAAACCCACCAGCCACTCCTCGGAAGGAAGGTTGGGCAATCCTACTTCCGTAGGGATACTGCCTCGGAAACCCAAGGAGGGGTCTCTATGAGTCGGGTTTGACTCGATGGCACATAACAACAACAACAACAAGGTACTCCTGGGGCAACCTAGCATAGCTTAAACTTGAGAAGACCTGTTTTGTGAGATGGATTCAGGTGCGATGCCTGACTGAAAGCTCTTTCTGTTTCTGCTTTCATGTTGGTTATGGGATTCATATCATCTTGCTGAATTGGACCAGCAGTCTTGGGATAAAGAGAGGGCCCTGCTGCATAACAGAACTCTGTAGCCTTTTGAGTCTCCCCACCCCCAAAAATACCAAACTCACTGCCCCTTTAACACTTAACATTTAACACTTTAAATAGGTCTTTAACAGCAGATTTCCCCAGTGTAACACGTCGTTTGATATGTCAATTCTGACCCATAGTGACCCCCTTTGGGTTTCTGAGACAGTAAATCTTTATGGAAGTAGATTGCCCAGTCTTCTTTCTGTGGAGTGACAGGTGGGTTTGAACCACCAACCTTCTGGTTAGCAGTCAAATGCCTTAGGTATTATGCCATCAGAGTTCACCCAAGGGAAGATAAAATGACACTTAGCTAGATAAATGTTTACTACAAGTATCTCTCAAAGCAAAGGGATTTTCCCATCAATTGTAATTTTTCTTTAATTTTTATGCTTACACTATATCTTCAGCAGTATCTTCCTTCAAATTGGAAATAGATATGCCCATACTTAGGAGCTCTGGTAGCATAGTGGCTAAAGCACTTGACTGCTAACCAGAAGGCTGGCGGTTCAAACCCACCAGCCACTCCTCGGAAGGAAGGTTGGGCAATCCTACTTCCGTAGTGATACTGCCTCGGAAACCCAAGGAGGGGTCGCTATGAGTCGGGGCCGACTCGATGGCACATAACAACAACAACAACATGCCCATACTTACGTATGTCATTGTCTATAAAGAAAAAGAGTCTATCAGTTGCACTACTATGACCTCAGATTCCAGAATATCAAGGCAACATTCTTTAGAAGAGATTCACTTTGGGTTGAACTTATGTTTAGAATTAGCCAACTGTCAAAGGGAAAAAGATAGCCCAAGTGACAAGAAAATACCTCTCACTATGAATTGGTTTAGAAGATGCTTTTCTAAGTGTCCTGAGGATGTCTCCTTATGCAGCACACAGTCACTTCTGTTGTTTTCATTCGCATCATCTGAAGATGAACCATATTTTATTTCCAACTTGAGGTAGAGAATAAGATGGTTTTTTTTTTTTCTCCCCAGCTTTTGCTCTTTACTTGGAATGTCAAATCAATCTCTTCTTATAAGGAGCCAGGGAAAAGATGTTAATTTTGGTAAATTATACAAGAAAACTGGGCTTGGGAAGAAAGTGGTTGTTATCCTTTCCCATGTGTATTTGAAAAGGGGACAACTGATTAGTTCTTTTGGGCCTTGCTTGGCTGGTGAAAAAAGAATGGCTGGTTTGGGTGGAAGGGTGTCTCTTTATTCTCAGCTTAAGATGCTGAACCCTGACCAAATTAAACTTCATTTCTTGTGGCTTCCAGTAATTTCCACCCTTTGAAATCAGAACTCAAGGGTTTTGGCTTCAGTTAAGAGTCTGAAGTAGTCAAGGAGGTCTGAGTGGAAGGCAGAATCAACTTAATGCTACAAGTTTGATTAAGGAAGAGATACTGGGACAGTGAAGTGAATCCCCTAAGCTGAAGTACAGATATCTGGGGACCAGCAGTGGGGAGCATGCTAGAAGAGGAGCAGGAAAGACTGAGACCAAAAAGGGAAAGCGTATGTATCTTATCCATCTGCCAACATTGTGACTTGGTAGGAGCAGATTACACTAGAATGTCTGGAGCTGTCCTCCAGTCTCTGGCCAGTTGAAGCTTCCCTCTACTTCTGATGACTAGAGTGACTGACCACCTGGTTTGCCAGGGGCTACTTTAGTTTTAGCACTGAAAGTTCCCTATCCTCAGGGAAAACCTTCAGACCTGGGCAAACCAGGATAGTTAGTCATGTTGATTGCATTTTAAGGTACATGGGTAGCATATAAGGAGCTCTGGTGGGGTAGTGGATAAGACATTTGGCTCCTAACCAGAAGGTCAGCAGTTCAAACCCACCAGCTGCTTTGCATGAGGAAGATGAGGAAAACTGCTTCTGTAAAGATTTACAGCCTTGGAAACCCAGTGGGATTTGCTGTGAGCTGGAATTGACTCAATGGCAATGGGTTTGAGTTTGGGTATTGTTTTGGTTCTCTAGTGCTGCTCTAACAAAAAATACCACAAGTGGATGACTTTAAATAAACAGGGATTTATTCTTGTACAGTTTTGGAGGCTAGAAGTCTGAGTTCAAAGTGCCAGCTCTAGGGGCTGGATGAAGGTCCCTTGACTTTGGGCTTCAGCACTGCCTCTTGCTCCCAGCCCACTGAAGCTGGAGGCTTCTCTTAACTCACACAACTGCTGGCTGCTGAGGCTGATAAACCTAAGGTTGACAAGTAAAATGGCACCATCTCAAAATTATCAGGCAAAATGTCAGGCCACTAATTCAAGTCCATCAACAATCCCAAGATCAGCAGACAACATTGCAAGACATTGAGATGAAGACTCAGCTACATGCAGGGTCCAAGCATGCCAAAAAGCTCAGAGTCCTTTCTCAGCTGTCTTCTTATATACTGGAAGCAGATCACATTCCTAAGGAAGCTACTCAGCTGCTCCAGTAGATTCTACCATGGAGTTGATTACCACTCTCATCATGGGGAATAACTACATCCAGTTGCCCAACCACTCAAAAGCAGGTCCAGCCAAGTTGACACACAACTTACCTACATGGGTAGCACATGTGACCGTGGAGATAATGCTCTGGATCTCCTCCCTCATTTCTTTGTTTCTGAGAAAAGTGTATAATCCCAGTGTATATGCAGGATTATTAAATTACAATAAGAACAAAAACTGCCATTGACTGTATACCTACTATGTACCAGGTATATGATCTTGTTTACTCCTTCTGGCAGTTGAAGAGGTGGGATATTTTTGGCCCAGTTTTACAGAAGAAGAGACTAGGGCTAAGGGTTACAAGTATCTCTCAAAGCAAAGGGATTTTTCCACCACAGATAAGGTGTTTTTTGTTTGTTTGTTGTTTGTTTCTCACTTAAGTTATTATATCCTCAGAAGTATATCCCTTCAGATTAGGAAACAAATGAAGTTTCCAGAATTCAAACAATTAGAATGTGGCTAAGTCATATTTGAACTTCAGTGTGTCTGAATCTGAAGTCTTGGCTCTTTCCACTAAAGGAAGAACTTGCTGAACTGGATAGTAAGTGGATAGCTGTTCTGATTTAGACATGCTCTGAGACCATCAGATTTACTCACTGTTTCCAAACTCATTCCTAATCTTCATGGTCGTATAAGATTCCATAAAAGTTGTCCAGGAAGCTACTTTAGCTACTGTATGTAGGCTGATACCTGTTAGCAGCCCCTAAACAAGGTTTCAGTTCTTATTTATTTATTTATTATTTATTGTGATTTGGGTGAAGATTTACAGAGCAAATTTACTTTCCATACAGCAGTTCACATATACTTTGTCTCATGTCATTGACCACAGTTTACCACAATGCAACAGCTCCCCTCCTACTTCCTC